CCCTGCCAATGCCTTTGCCGTGGTAGGTATATTCTCTTCCTGGGCCCTCTGAAACGAAGGCGCTTGGCCAACTCCAGCGATCTCCTTCCACTGCTGTGAGCTTCCCAGCGCTTGGAGACGATGGGTGGAAGGGAGAAAGGGTAAGCACGACGGCGGAGCTGGCTGCGGCGATGTGCTCCAGGAGGTCCCACCCCACTCCTGCCATGCTGTGCTCCCTCTCCACTCTTTTTGTCACGAGACTCGGGACCAAGGAGAGCGTGACGGGGCAGTCAGAAAGTGGCGAGGGGTGCAGGAGCGGTCGTTTGGCTTGGCTCGCACCGCGAGACCAGCTACGGTTCTCTTTTCCCCCCTCTTTGAGTATAAACCTTTGTTGTTATTATTTTTACTGCTTGTTTTTATCATACCAAAGATGAACTGAAGCGGCTTTGCCCACTAACCTTTCATTCACTCTAATTTGTGTCTTTGTTGTCGTTGGTCTGTTTAGGTGGATACCCTTCGCCATGTTATCAGCCAGACAGGAGGATACAGTGACGGACTCGCAGCAAGTCAGATGTATAGTCCGCAGGGCATCAGTGTAAGAAAAAAAAAAAATAGGCTCGGATTCTTGTTTTATTTATATTTTTTTTTTCGTTTTTGTTCTCTCACTACCAATTATTTCAAAGCCATAGGGCTCAGAATGCCACTTAGTAGGACTTGTCTTTGCTTTTACGGTCACCTAGTTTATTGCTTCTGTATCGGTCACGCCAACGGCAGAGCTTTGCCCACAAAAAAAGTGGCGACCGGGCAGGCTTTGTGCAGGCAGCTGGCGTCTAGGACTGTCACAGCCGATCAGTGTTCACCCGGCACCTGCGGCCACACGCGCTCGGCCGAGAGGAGTTGCTAAACAGGTGACACCTCGCGTAACCGCGGTTGGGAATGTCACCGTGAACGCTCCGGTCCAGAGATGGCTCCACGTGGAGGCCAATGGCACCATCCCAGAGCGACCATCTAAAAATAACCCATCCCCGGCCGGCATCTGAAAGCGGCGGCGGCGATGGGGTTGGCGGCAATATAACGATAGCAAATAAAAGGAGATAAAAAAAATAACAAAGCCAACCAACGTCAACCCAAGAAAACCTCGCCCAACCCGACTGGGGGAGGATGCGAGGGGGAGGGCAGTCTCCAGAGCATCTTCTCCTTGTTCTTGGGTGCGCTGGCGGGTTCTGACTAGCATGAAAATTCGTAGCGACAAGCTGTGTCGCACAGGGGGAAATCGATCAGACACACACAAGGAGAACCCAGTGTAGATTCGGGACAGCAATCCAACTTCATTTCTCAGATCAATCGTCCGCCATCTCAGCGGTGGTGACAGCAAGCTGGGAGAAGAGGGCAGCCTGGAAAAGGAGGCTGTGAGCACCGCGTGGGTGGTGGCGGTGGTGTCCGGGCTGGCACGGAGGAGGGGGCAGCTGGCCCTGGCTGCTGTGGTCCCCACTGAGGATGCTGAAGGTTGAGGTGAGGTGGTCCTCCAGGTGGGATGGTGGTCCTGCAGCTGAGCACCCCATCGAGGTTCACCATCCGGTCTCGTCGCCCTCATGGCCAAGGCTTCTGCCATTTGTCACCTTGCGTGTGACCGTCTTCAGCCACTGCCGGCATGGGGAGAAGGGTGCAGCGGGACGGGGGGCTGCGCTCCCCTCTCCTGCGGGCACCAGGGCTTAGCGGGCAGCTTGACGTCAGGAAGCAGAGGCAGGGAGGATTTGTGAAGTAATGTAATTGAACATGTGCAGATAATTATGTCTCATTACATAAGCCTGTTGCAAAAACGGCGCTTGGAAATGCCACATGAAAGAGCCTATCGTTCCGCATTAATTTCTCCGTGCGCTGAATTTATTCCCTTTCTGGCTTTTTAATACTTGGAGAGTAAATGAATCGCAGGCTGATCATGATAAGAGATGATACTTTTGTATAAATTAAAATACCCCCAAGGAAAGAGGCTGAGCTGATTACGGTTGCAGTTGGCTTGGAAAATAACAGTGGACTGGGTTAAGCCAAAATTTGGGGGGGAGGGTTGCTGCCAGGGATTACGAGGCAGGGAGGGGGTGAAGGGGGAGAGGAGAAGAAAGAGATAGTGGTAACTCAACAGCCGAATAGGACGAGGAGGACTGGGTTCGTGTTTCTGGTCATGGGAGAACCAGTGTTACCATGAGGAGCACTGGGAGGTGGTGAGACCTGAAACCAGCAGGGGCTGCCAAAATTTGGGGGGGAGGGTTGCTGCCAGGGATTACGAGGCAGGGAGGGGGTGAAGGGGGAGAGGAGAAGAAAGAGATAGTGGTAACTCAACAGCCGAATAGGACGAGGAGGACTGGGTTCGTGTTTCTGGTCATGGGAGAACCAGTGTTACCATGAGGAGCACTGGGAGGTGGTGAGACCTGAAACCAGCAGGGGCTCAGCACCGTCCCCTGCGCTTCCCTCACGGGGATGTGACGTGGTGGCATCTGATGGCTCCTCAGGCTGGTTTTCAGGAAGAGCAGGACCCCAAATTGAATGTTGTTCAGAGAGGGGCAGGGTGACGAGTGGGCAAAAGGACCACCTGAGTTTGGAGGTGCCGCCTCATTTCCCCATAAAGCTGTCCTAGGCACGGGGAGCAAGGCATGGAGTCCAGAGCTGAGCAGATGGTGTGGGAAGCATCTTCTGGGTTGTCTCTCTGTCCCTAAATGTTTTGCTTCCCCCGTATCCCGGGCAGCACACTCCTTCCTGTAGCTTTTATTATGACTTAATGTCTTTCCGTTCAGCTAGGTCCCCTGGTGGACCCCAGATTGTTCACAAGGATGGCGACCCTCTGGGAAACATTGGTCCTGGGGAGCTGCTCGGTGCAGGCACGGTGGCCGTCTCGTAGCAGGCAGGGCTTCCCTGCCTCTCCCCTGAACCCTTTAATGCCAAGGAGGGGCAGCGGGATGCGGAGAAAAGCTGCTAGTGACACAGAAAGCTGCCGTCCCCGTGTCACCCGAGCATCCCCGTGAACTGCTGGAAGGAGATGAGCCGAAACCTAGTCAAGAGTCCTGTCACAACGATGTCTGCACGGGGCTGAGGTTAAGTCATCCCCGGAGCCCGTCAGGACTGGGAAGGCAGCGGCAGGTTGCCCAGCTCCACCGCTGCAAACCTTGGCAGGGGAGACGATGCTCGGGGTTTGCCTTCCTTGATGGAGGATGAATTTTTAAATACGTGTAAGTCATGACAGCTGAGGACAGGAATCTACCCAAAGCCCCGTTCCTTCCGTGGCTCCGCGCCTCGACGGTTGACAGACCGCTCCGCGGGGCGAAAAGGGCTGGAGTCGGTTCTGCATCGTTAGCAGGATAATGGGCGACGTCCCAGCCATCACGATCTCCGTGACCCACGGCAACGGCTGCGACAGAGCGAGAGCAGCCGCTTTCTCCTCCTCATGTGGAGACGGCATTGGGCAGTGCTGGTCCTGGCGAGGGACAGGGATACCCTCGGTGATGGAGGGGTGGTAGAGGCAGAAGCCGTCTTGAGAACACCCAACCCTGGGTAGCACTGAGAGGAAGGAGGGGGCCACCCCACCTGACAGAAGAGGATACGTGGAGCCTGATTCAGCCCTTGTGGCAAGTTTTGAGGTTTGAAGGGTTTCATATCGTTGAGTGAGAGGTGTTAAGTGTCTGGTCCTTCTGGACAGTGGTTGTGAGGGTCTGTGTGTGCATAACCCAGCTGCAGGTCCCCAAGGCTAGATGTTGGAAAGCATTTGGTTGTCCAGGTTCTGGTGGGTTTCGGTAGAATCCTCTAGAGGATCCCAGCTCAAAATATCACCCTTACTGTCACTGCCTCACGACTGTGAATCCACAAAGTGTTTTAGGTCTCCCATCTGCTAATTAATGAAGGACCTGTAGTCATCTTAAAGACAAAAAAAAACTTTCAGAAATTTCTTTTTTGGACTTCATTGAATTTAGTTTATAGGCCACTTAAAAGTCTAAAACAAGAGCCTGGTTTTTTAAATTCATCAGAGAGTGATGTTTTTGATTTAAAACTGCTGTTGTGGAGAGCTGTGTCTGTCTACAGAGCACTGTGTGACCGTGATGGCGGGGGGCGGCAGCAACATGTGCATCCGCTCTTGTCGATGAGAATCACCGGGCACTGGTACCTGTAGGAGCCAAGACCTCCTCACTTGTGCTGAGACCCTTTTCGCTAAGAGTTTGAGCCTTGAAAAGGAAGTTGTTCCTCTGTTCCTCAGCAAGCTACAGCTCGCCATCGTGATCAAGCTCTGGTTTGTGATGATGAGCTGGGATATGAAGCTGGTCTGGCAGGGCTTCAGTACCTGACCTCTGTCACTCAGGGGTGCCTGATGGTGTCCTGAAAACTGCTGCCCTGAGCCTTGGGGAGTGATGGCCGGACAGGGCTGGATTCTCTGGTGTGTAATGAGAGCTTCAGTGCTTATCGTGACAAGACCCTGATGCTAGCTCTTAAAAACTTAGAGGTCTGAAGTCTCTTTAAGGCTACTCCCTGTCTGTCAGACTTGCCAGTGTCTTTTTGGTGTGTTTGGAGACTGACCTGACACCCTAGTGGGACAAGGATTTGGTCACAGAAAGTGGGAAGTCAAGACAACCCCTGTGCAAAGCAGAAGGCTCCTTTAAAAATTGGCAGAAAGTCATCTCCCAGCCCCACACAGGAGGCCCGGGCAGAGAGCCAACCAGACTTGCTGGAGGTGACGAAAATGCTGTGAGATCTGTGGAAATGGGCACCAAAACCAGTTGCTTCAGCAGTCAGTCACTGGGGCTCCACCGCTTGGACAGTCACCAAGGCCTTGCCAGTTACCTGGCACCAGAAGATGACATATGAAGGGATGTCCTGGAGACCATTGCTCTGTCTTTGGCTTCTGCCTCTCCTGAAGAAGTCACAGCTGTGTGCAGAGGCTCCTCAGAGGGTCTGCAAGGAGCAGCAGGCTCCTCAGGAGACTCCTTTGTCTTTGAGGGAGATCCCAAGGGATCCCTTGGCTTCAGAAAGAGACATGACCAGCTGGGTGGAATTGGATGGTCCATGCAGCAACAGGGTGAACTCCAGGAAAAGAAGGATGAGTGTGGGTGGTGCCTACCTGCCCTCTGCCTGAGGAAGGATCTGGCCCCCTCATGAAGGGCTTGTCCATACCAAAGATGAAAAAGTCACAGCCAACCTTGGGGCCTCCTTCCCATTACTTGACCTGTAACTTGGAGCCTTCCCAGGCTGGGGAAGCCAGAGGGTGTGGGATCTGTGGAGGGTGCCCCAATCTGGGTCGACTTCTCCCCGACATCCTCTTGTCTTCCCACTGGATGCAACTGAGGTACTCATCAGCAGCACAACTCTTGCAACACTTGAAGGCTGATTCCCAATCTGGAGTGCCGTGGGGCTCCCCAGCATATTGTGGGGGGCTGAACGTCGAGGCACCACAGTCAGTGTATGCAGGACGCTCTCCCTCTTGCTCCTTCCAACCGCGGCTGGCACGCAAAAGCCTCTCTAAAAATAGTTGAGCACAATAGGGACGGAGCCCCCTCCACTCCCCCCTCCTGCTCGCCGTAATGACCCTGCAAACACTAAATGGCATCTGAGTGCATTAAGCAGCAAACTCTCCGGTGACATAGCAATTACGGCTCTGAAATAGATTTGGTGCGTCACGGAAGATAAGGGTTTTGAAAGTTTCTGTTGTGATTATAGCTTGTAACTCCAACAAATAACAGGCTTGGTAATAAGAGGCTGCCAGCACAGCTATTGTGGTTCTCTCTCACTGATGGCACGTAAATTGCTATTAATGTCCTAAGTGTACTTGAATATGCCAGTCTCGGGGCGGTGGAGCTGGCTCCGTGTCTCTCTACGCGGCCTGTCATTGTCGGGCTGATAATCTACGGTAATTGCTGCCTCTTGCAGCGGTCCGAGGCGTGTAAGGTTGGATGTTGCATCTTTTGGACGCTGGTTTTGGGCCTGGCTGTGGGTGGAAGCTGGTGGGGGCGGTGGAGGGGGGCACATGGGACTGGTAATGTTTGTGCACAGTCGGGTTTCGGGCTTGCACCCAAGGTGAAGCAGAGAAGGGTTTGCTCACCCGCTCGCCAGCTCAGGTTGTGACTCCTCTCCTCCTCGCTGTCACCTGAACCCCTTTGCAAGGTGCACGTGGAAGAACACACAAACCTGTGGTGTGTGTGTGCACACCTCTGTCTTTTTTGCTTTATGCCTCCCCATTGCGAGGTGGTTTAAAAAGTGGGTTCCTGTGTCTCATCTCTTTCCTCCCATCTCAGCTGCCTCTCGGGCGGGCAGGAGTTGGTCGGCAGCGTGGACAACCCAGTGGCAAGTCCTGGACGGCTGCTGGGTGCAGTGAGGCTTTTCTTACCCTGCAGAGCCCCGGCTGTCAGGGCTGGTGATGGATGCCCTGTGCTGGAGGCAGCGGGACAGGCAGCCCGAGAGGGCGAAGCAGCCTGGGCACATCTAAAGCGGGACAGCGGCTGCTACCGACTCGAGCTTTGGCAGAAGGATTAATTAGCCGAGCACTAAATCAATGTCACAGTGAGCAGAGGAGGTTGGGTGCAACATCTGCTCCCCTCCAAAGGGGATGGCAGCCACGGAGGGGCCGCTTCTGTGCGCTGCCGGCTCTTTTGGTAGCTCTGCTCTCGAGAGGCCTGAGAATTTGGGTCTGTGTCTGTTTTTAGGAGAAGAAATGAGTTGACCACCATGCTTAGCTGTACGAACCCTCAGATGGGATACAGTGTTGGCACCTCTGTTGCGCTGTGGCTTTGGGTGCCTCAAGGCGGGGGGACTGGCTGTGGCTTGGGGTCCCTCAAGGAGGGGTGACTGGGAGAGTGGAGGACCAGCCCCAGGGCAGCGGAAATTTCTGGTTTTACTACAAAGCAAGGAGGGGAAGGCTCTTGTGTTTGGAGCAGCGGTGGCCCAGGTCCCTGATCGTGTACTTCACGGTGGCGGGAGAGGTGTTTGGGCAACATGTCTTCCCTGTGACAGGACTTTGTGCTGGTGGCTCTTGACTGTACAGGAGAAGGGATGCCCAGAAAGGCAGTGAAGGGGTACATGGAGTGATGCTGGGGGACATAGCATGGCTCAGAGGTCCTTCGGGACCCATTGCTTGTTCTGCATGTTCAGAGTCCAGATAACATCCCAGGGTGGGGTTTCTGGAGTGAGGTCTTTGCTATCCTGTGTATAGGAAAGGGTCCTGTTTGCAGTAAAAAATGCACAAATCACCAGAGCTCACTGTTTCTGCAGAAAGAGTCTTCTTTAAGCGACAGAATTTCCATGAGCACCAGAACCCCTGTTTTCAACGTAATTGTTTCTGGCCCCTTCCCAATGATGCAGCCCCAGGGTCTGGGGTGGGG